GCAAAAGTGTAATTTTAATTAGCTTCATTGTATAAAACTGTTGATTAATTAGCATTAAAATGTGTTTTGTCTAAAGTGGGCGTACAGAGCAACAGGATGTAAGATTATCTAAATTGTTTGCGCACAAATTATTTTTAGCCTTGAAAAACAAATATTCATGACCGAGTAAAAAAATTGTTTCTCTTTCTTTCTTTTTTGGTTGTTGTTGTGTTTGTTTTTTGTTGTTGTTGTTGCAGTACATTTTAAAAATTGAAACTTTAATATGTATTTGATCAATTAATAAAAAAATAATATTATGTAATGATTTACTAATATCACAGTTTGATTTATCTTTGAAGTAATAAAGAAAAAAACATCTAAAACACCAGTGTATTTTATCTGGAAACATTATATGAGATAATACGGCTGCCATAAAACATGGAATTTTGAGAAATCTTTAAATTTTAAACGTGTTATTCATAATTAAATAAAACTCAAGTTAATTTCTTTCGTAAGCAAATTCATCACGTTTGACCAATTACACAGTAATCAAGTGAAGTATGGCAAAAGCAAACGAAGCATATAAATAATAACATCAAAACTTAAATATGTCATTAAAAAGAAAAGAAAAAAACTTATTTGAATAAACATTTTCACAAGTGGCATGGCCTGTTGGTTAACGGGTCGGACTAATAATTCAAGGATTGCTGGTCCCGTGGGGTTCAAAGTCCTACAGGGGCCTTTATGGTTTCCTTGAGCAATAAATTTCACATTCAATTTCAGTACAATAAACGGATCTGAGAGTGTGTCTTAATAACCTACACAATCAACAATGAAATAATTCTGAATAAACTCTGTATCCAAGACGTTACCACATGCTGAATAAACTGTAATAAGTAAATAAATGCATTCTTTGTTAAAGAATGATATCCGTAAGTTTGTTGTTTTTAACGTCTAGGAATGACGAGTAATGACGAGTAAAACAACAACAGTTTTTTCTAAATGTTTTCTTGAAAACACTCAGTCATGCGATAATATCTTTATTACCCTTATTAATGCGTCATCAATGCTATTCATATGAAAAAAAAACGTTGTAAACATTATTCTTTGCAACAAACAAAAAAACAACAAAAACAAAAACAGAAAATGTCTGTGTGAAATTATTATAAGACTTAAGGTATTCAGCTGTAAATAGCGCTATATTTTTGCTATTTTCTAACAACAAAGAAACAAACGTCTGATGTTTTATTCTAACAATGTTTTTTGCTTTCTTGGTTTTTTAACATTAGAAAATGGTGAAAAGATAATTCTGGAAAAAATAAACTTTAAATTCTAATTTGTTTTTGTTGGAAATCTAGTCACACGGACATTCCAACTTTACTGGTTACGGAATACCTAAGGTACCCTTTTTGTAAAGTACACATGTATTTCAGACACAAGCGGACACCTGAATAAAACTACCGACCTTAAATATATAGTTAGCACAAAAGCTTCCTCACGTGAAAGCAGTTAAAGTCCCTTGTTGGATTCGAACCCACAGCGACGAGGGGCAAGTGATCTTTACCACTCGGCATTGAGATTCCACTTAATATTTGAGTATGTCAAATTTACTCAAAGTAGGGTGTAGTATTCAAACAAGTGAAACATATAAAAACATCATCATATAATCATTTTGTTACAAATTGATATGGATATCATATAAGTATTTTTTTTAATATACAGTACAGGAAAGACCACAATTTAACTAAATATTCAGCTTTTTGTACAACATTAACAGACATCTCATTCCATCTAGCGGAAAAAATACGATTCAATAGCTATCTTTAAGCTAAAAATAGAAATTACCAATGATAAAAAGTTTTCAAATGCCACTCCACATTAAATTTGCTCTTTTGTATAATCATGCTCTTTGACTAAAATATATTGTTTGTTGGTAATAAAGTAAAACTTGGCATTTTCATGAATCAATTAATTCATATGTCAAATATTTCCTATATCTATTCATGCATTACGAGCACAATTAATTTGATTGTTCAGAAATGTTCCGGAACACATATCGTATTCTTGGCGGTTTACTTGTTTTTCATCTGAACAAAGTATTTATTAATGAAAATAACACTAATCTCTTAACAAGAAACCATCAAATTGGACTGAAATAAACTATTTTTTTGTGCCTTTTAGTAACAAAATATTTTACGATGTCAACCACATGTTGTTACTTCAAAACTGTCTTCGTTGTTTCAAATGATAAGTCAACGGATATACTGTGAATAATTTTAGATTTATTTCACATTTTAACAATTTATCAATAATTACTTTAATATAATACACATGCTTGTTTCTTGTTTAATGTGGGTTTTTGTAACTTTAATATAAATATAAACTAACATCAGAAAAATGTGCTTGTAATTGATTATCTCATACAGCGTCCGAAAAAACCTTTGTAAGAAAATATATGTTTGTTAGATAAAAATTATTTCGTTTTTAATATGCTTATCCTTTTGTTTGACATTTTGATTCTAAAAGTTCTAAATGTTATGCGTTATGTTAAACATGTAATGCTCTGAGATTTACTTGTCTTACTCCTTTTTAAATCAAGAAATCCCAATTTTATAGCAGATGATTAGCTTTAAAAAATTAAACCTGTCACATCAATCATTCATAATTTTTTTCCCTTTGTTTTAATTATTTTTGTTGTTCTTGTTGTTTTGTTGTTGTTGGTAATGTTGTTCTTGTTTCTTTGATCTATTTGTTGTTGGGTTTTTTTTGTGAGTTTGTTTGTGTTTTTTGTTGTTGTTTTTTTTGGAGGGGGGAGGGAGGGGATTGGTGTGTTGTTTTTGTTGGTGTTTTTGTTCTTTATTTTGTTATTGTTTGGGTTTTTTTGGGGGTAGGAGGTGTTGTTTTTTGCTGTTGTTTTTATGATAATGTACCGATTTTTAATGAGTCATAGTAAATATGCACATTCGTCATTTTATCATTAAATTTATCAATTCAACTTTAATCATTATCATTTCTATTCCCTCAAGATCGGAGCATAAGAATTTCTTTAAAGAAGAAATACATTAATGAATATCGTAGTGCACGTCTCTTGCAGTCTGGAGGTCGGGTCATTCATAGGTATATTTTCGTATATTTTCACAACAGTAAATATTAGGTGAAACTAACGATAGACCGATGGTAACAATTCAACCTCTTGAACTCTTGGGTTCATCTTCACGAATTCACAATTTCAACATACATAATTCACGGATTCTCGATTTCCACTTCTTGAATTCACGATTTCAACTTCACGTATTCAACTTCGTTATTACACGTTTTGAACTTGACGATTACAATTTTGTGAATTCACGATTTCAACTTTCTGGAGATTTAATCTTTAATTCAAGTGACAGATTAAAAAAGAACGTTACCCCCTATTTCACTTTAGTGTTGTTATATTGTTCTGGTTCATCGGAATCATTGATTCCAGCACGTAAGTATTGGAGATTAAATACCGGCTAAGTCGGTGCTAGGGGGCATGAGATATCTTACACTAATCCATTATCTCTCTAGTAAACAATTTCATTAAACATTACAAACCATCCACTATAAAATGTAAAATGTTTGATATATCTTTTGCAAAAAATGACCTAAAGGTTGTTATTGAATGATATGTATTTGTGTCCTTGCTGACAAATTTATCAGACATAAAACAAACATGACATTCCCCATGCTGTCTTAAATGTCTTTGGTTATTATGATAACGGTGTACAAAAAATACAATATGTTATTCGTAGATCGTATTTAAACAACCCTTGTGACATTAAATCAAGTAAAAAAAGTGATTATTGCATTACAACAATGGAATTAAGGAAGTCATGACTTTTTGTCTAACACAAAATTAGAAACCATTTAATTTTTCATCTGTGTCCCTGTCCATCGAATCTATATCCCTCTTCCATTATCTAACATAATTACTTACATATAAAGCAATGACATCAGTGCTGAAAAACCCAACAAGGGTACTTCCAGCAAGGTTTAAAATAAGCTTTCATTGAAAATACGAGTGGTATAATCTAAAAGACGCATAAAGCCTCAAAATATTATAATTTTTTTATTTCTCGAAAGCTTTTTGTTTACTTTTTGTTTAATGCAACAGTTTCAAAAGGGTACATATTTGGTTGTATTAACAATTAGTAAAGGTTTCTTGTGATGTTGTTTGAAATGGAAATTATATTTTTTCTAACTATTTGCTTTTTTGATGACAAAATAGTTTGCAAAAGATCAAATTTCTTAAAGTGATAAGCATCAAACATTCTCTAGATCCAATCTCTAATGGTTTGTCTTTTTTTTCAGGGCGAATTCGTATTTGTTTCTTCTAGCTTAAAGTGCCTTAAATATATACAGTTTGTTCTCTATATATTCCAATTTCATAGTTGATTTGTTGCAAACAAAGCTTTGTTAATATTGCAATCATTCCAATGCGGTTTCGCGGATGTTTCAAAATTCACTATTTTACATGTTCATGTTAACAGTTGAATTCTGCTTAAGACAGTGCTACGTAGCTTGCAATTACCACTACCGTCCATGAACTGGTTAAATCAAACTGAGCCTGCAACATTTTCAATTTTGTGGTGTTGAACTTTCTTCAGGGAATTCCGTTTTTTTTCTCTATTTTATGTTACTAGTATTCTGATTGCAGGCGACAGGTGACAAATGCCTAATTAGAAATAAAACTACTTGAATTTTTCAAACTCAAATTGTACTGACCAGTAAAGCTGGAACGTCGCTATGTGCCTATGCTGTGTCGGTGAGACGTAAAACCCAATCAAGCAAACAAACAGACTTTTTTCTTTTTAGAACAAAAGTTGAAATGAAAGAAATCTTGCCGTTCTCTCATTTACCTCTTTCATAGCTTTCTATCCGGTGATGAATGGAAACATGTAGTTTATCTAGTTCACATGGCATCATAATAAATTTCGACAAACTTAAGTTAAAATATAACTTTAATGGTACCCTTTTTGTTTTTTTTTTATTTTCAGTTCGTTTGTTTTGCCCAGCAATGCAGAAGCAAGTTTGGAATATTTCAACCGGAAGACTTTGATTTTCACGCATGCGTATGGTGTTACTTTTTCTTGTATCCGGAGAATGTGTTTAAACCTCACCATCATCAGCATTACCTCATGCTTACGACAAATAGCTCAAAATACCCGGCTTATTCTACATTCAAAGCTGATATTAAAAATTCTACCTTAGTTGACATCATCTGCTCATCTTTGACACCTGATGAATGTGACAGGTGGAAACTCTGTTGTGAAACATCCCATAAATGTTGTCGTAGTCACGCCCACTCCGAGGATTTCAATGACACGTGCGCACCAACGTGGGATGGATTTGGGTGCTGGGGAAAAGGAACGCCGGGCCGAATAAGCTCTATGTCATGTCCCGTTTTCTTGCCGTTTGCCATTCCAACAAGTAATTATTACATTGAGTATACATTTCTCTATTTTGAAAAAAACATATGTTATAAAGTACTTATATTGGTTTTTACTAAGTAAGACTGTTTTGTCAATTGATGCCAAAAAACAGAATGTTTTATTTTAACATTTATTATTATACTATAAAATTTCCTAATCATTTTTTTTTAGAAATGCCAAAATTACCATACAACAACTGTATAATTGTTTTGCTTTAAACGCTTTAATGAATGTCACATTACAAAGCATTATTGAAACAATTCAAAAACTGACATACTGCTATGAAAGCGTCTTTTCATTGTCGAAATATATTACAGGATCGGCTTTGAAAAAGTGCCTGTCAGATGGTACTTGGTCAAAGAATGGTGAGCTTGAGTGGACAGATTATACACCGTGTCTAAACTATCAGGTAAAAACATTTTGAATTTGATTGTTGCATGGTCAATTAAAAGTCCATTTTGCCACAAAAATGTTTTTTTTTTATGTTTCAACTTTTTGGTGTCTTTTAACACATTCCATTGGTAGGATAGCTGAAACATCTTTCTCCTCGTTTCCGTGTCAGCAATGAATACAGCTATCGTGATTTAGTCAAAATACTACATTGTTTACATAGTGCTACCTTTACGACTAACTACTTCACATTGAACACTACTGTCTTCAAGTGATAATCATCTTAAATTTTCTTTTACTACATTTGTCATTTCTGCAAAAGAAAAGAATAAAAATTTCTGAGACATAACGTGTCTTTAAAAGGTATGCCTTTTCATTTAAATGTTGTATCAAGTGAATGCTTCCAAGATAATTATTCAATTACTCACCGAAGTCTGATGATATATGAAAGTCTATGTTCTTAATACGAATATATTTATTTGTCGTAACTACAAAAATAAATTAATAATACAAACTAAGCATCTCAAAACTGAACTGCTAACTTTGTTTAAATCATATTCTGGCCGTATGTGAACTTTTTATATCGGAAATTACTGTAATTTGCATTGAGATACATTATACTATACTCATCTATGATACAGCAATATCAAAAAACAAATAATCTATGTAAGTTCCTTTGTAATTCAAATGTTAATACTTCGTCTAGACAGGGCCGTTTCTGTTACCTTGTAATTACACCCATTCATATGAATAATAAAGCTGGATTACATAACAGAGCACTCTCGAATTGAAAAATCTCCCTACGCTTTGTATGGTGTATGATGTAGAACGTTACGAATGAATAGTGTATAGGGCCGATTATTAAACAATTTATATACTGTATAAGAAAGCATAATGACCAAAGATACGCAACCGATTATGAATCAGTTTTAATAATTGTGATATTGTTGGATATTCAATTGTAACAATTTTCTGAGGAGTTAGACGTTATGTTATATAACATTTCACAAAATTGCAATGGCGGCCAGATACTATACGAGTAGTAAATGTAACTAATATCTTGGTTCATCTAGTAATGTTTTTGGGCACTGCACTCAAAAAAGAGAAAAAAAAAATCCCTAAAGAAAGCCCAAGACGGCAAAATTGAAAATGTTTGATCGAGCCTGTTCGTGGACGGTACTGTCAAGTGCAAACTACCGTCCACGCCCCCTAGCACCGGCTTAAGCAGGATTCAACATTTAACATGAACTGGTACAATTTGGAATTTAGAAACATCTGCAGATATCTTATTAGCCTCATATATCTCATTTTTGTTTAAATATTTACAAAAGAACTCATATTATGTTATGTACAGGTATTTTGTTATTTAAAATATGTATTTGAACAGGTATAATAATTTTAATATGTTATCTTTAATTTTCCATTTCAGGAGTTGAAAACTACAATATTTATAAGTATCGGCTGTCAAATAGCAAGTCTGTTATGTCTTGTACCATCAGTTATAATATTCTTCCAATTTAGGTACAGTATTTAATTTATCGTTTTTAGAATATTAATATTCATTTTAGTTTATACTTTCTCAAAAAATAATTTGCTTGTTTGTACAATCGGTTTTATGCTTAAAAGTGACATTTCTGTAATAAGGGTAAAGAAATACGTCTGTCACATTAGATTTTTAACTATGTTCTTTTTAACAATATTTCATTATATTATATTATGTGATTTAGTTAGGTTAAATTAGAATGTGCGCTCAATACATAATTATGAAAAATATGTAGGTTAGTGTAACAAGCATCATGTTTCCTTCTTTCTACTATCGAGTGCAATATGTTGGTAATCTTGTTATTTCACCATTAATATTCGCATTCGCTAAAGAAATTAATAAAGCGAAAATGTGACTAATACAAAAGTATGATAATACAAGTAAAGTGACAAGATGCTCATTGTTTCGTTATCAAATCGAGCTTTATTAGTTATATCCATAAACATGACTTCATTAATGGTCATTGACCAAAAATTGATAATAAAAAATGGTAATTATAAAATATGCAGACTGCATAAAATATAAAAAGAATATGAAAAATAAACTTTTTATTTGGCCCGTTTAACTTAGTTTGATATTTTTAAAGATCAATAACATTACAAAATAGAGAAAAACGGAATCCCACAATACAAAGTTACATGTATTTTTTATGGATATGTGAGCAGGCAATATGTTTGTATTTCTGGCACTAGAAATATCAATATTCTTATAAAGCAAAAAAGTTTTTAACCATAATGGTGTCAATTTTTATAAATCAGACCATTGTCACAAAAAATAAATCCGCTCTACTTGTTTTCTATTGCCAATAGTAATTTAAAGGGTGCGGACACTCTCTTAGATGAGGTGTTCTTTCGTTAATTCTGATAGAGGTAACATATTTAATCTTTAACGACGCATCACCATTATATCTATACTCTTGAAATAATCGTACGATATTTCTAATGGAAGCATCGACGTAATTATAGACAATTGCACATACAAGTGGAAATCATGCCGTCAAGTTGAACTCTTAACTTGCCTTTTGCCGACTAATTGTCAATGTTGCCTTGAGAGAAGTAACTATTAGGACTATTTAGAACTGTAGAGATCGTCTAGCACTTTATAAAAACAGGCATTAAAAATGTCGTGATTATTTGAATTTATTTATACATAGACCATATCCATAAATGGAATGTACTAAAGTAACATCAGTAAGCAAAAAGTGTAAACTTATTTGTCAGAAACGTATTTTATATGCATTACTTTACGCACAGGAAAGAATAGACGAGCGACCGTATAGTACGAAAATTGTGAATTCATATCGACTTGTATCAAAATAGTCTAAATGAATATATAACGAGCATTCTGCTTGATTCATAGAATTTTTCGGAAGAGTATAATGCAAGTCTAAAATGTGTAATGACAGAAAATAAAAATTCAATCAGATGATTTAAAAACAAGGAAACGTCGAGAATATGCCAACATCGCTGTTTGATGGTCCATTTTACATAAAGTCTGCGTAATACAAATGTATTAAGTAATACGTTATCAGTTGATTGATTTGTGTAAAGGTTAGCGTTTAATAAAAATAATAAACTGATAAATCATACGTTTTACTTATATGCCACATGGCTTGGTTAATACAGAATTTATTTTAGTTCGATTGTGTAGGATGCTATTAGCTTATATACACACATTCTAATCCGTTCTTTGAACCTAAAGATAATATGCAATGAGTGTAAAGTTTCCTACTCAAGGAAACAACGACTTGCCCCGAACGAGGCCTGAACCCATGCGGCTAGCGATCATGAGATTACTAGTCTGACGTGTTAACCACTCGGACATTTCGCCACGTCTCTTGTTAAGATATAATAATTTTGTGTTTATATTTATACAGGTGTTTACTACATCAGCATCGTATACGACTACATATCAATTTCTTCCTCAGCTTTATTCTTAGTGGTACGTTCATCATCATTTGGAACACTACGGTCACCTACGACAGGATCACCAATACAAACGTCTCTGATACACTGCTTTATAAAAATTCTGTAAGTTTGATCTATTACCTCGTTCTTGTATATTGACATTTCGCATATCAGGCGATATTTGGATATATAAGCTTAATATACTTCTTATTTTTTGTTGTATATTAATATTGCGTTTCAATTAAGATGATGTAAAAGGTGTTACGGGTTGTTTTTTTGTTTGTTCTGTGTTGTTTTTTCCTATCATTTTTCAATTTAAATTCACGTTGAGACGAAATTGATCACTCCTTTAAAGCCAATACACTAGCATGAGTTTCAATAATAGGAATATGATAAATTGTGTTCAGGTCCCTTTCTCTGACGGCTTTTCCTATATTCTAATATACCGATAACGATAATAAAACCAAATTCTGATTCAAGGTCATTTTAGTATTTTTAACATGCATTTTTAAACGGTAGTAATTGATGTATTAATCTTCATCCACTTACTTCATTTTAAATGAGTACTAAATATTATACATATTGAGAGCCTTCAGTGAACATTTACAAGACGGCTTTCATGTTATTGAAAGACAGTAATTCGTGAACATTGTAACCCTCATTTTTTACATATTGACCTCTGAGATGTCTTTTTTATCTTATATTGACAAACGCCACCATGTATGGAAAAAAGAAACGTTATTAAATCACATTTTTATTATAAAAGACATTTTGTCATATCCTATTTGCATAAAAGGTTACTAGGCAGTAAAATACAATTTTCAATTACTGAAATTTCCAAGAATACGAGTTCGTCCGTTTAACAATACGATCTAAGATTTAATTATATCATGTAATGATTTGGACATAACGTTATTTCCTAGACGTCATAAAACGGAATAGGAAATGATAGCTTACTTTAATGTAACCGAAAAGGAGATGCATGTAAATGAAAAGAAGTAATGAAGTTGTCGTATAAAGATTGGACTTGTCGCTTTGACAGAGACATTCTTTACAAAATGTGCAAAAATATATATATAGAATTTCATTCAAATAGAATTATAAGATTGTATTAAGAGTTGCCTTTAAATTAAAATAGTGTACTATTATTGTCAGATAAAAAGAAAGGCTGCAATTGTACGATAATTTAATGTCAAGTAGATGGTACAAAACCTTTAAAGAAAATGTATTACTTACTACAATTACATATTTAAAACACTGTCCCATGTCAGAGCACTAAAAGTATGTCTTAACAATGACCCTATCTTAAATCATATATACCTCAAACAATTCAACGCTCTTGAACAACGTACTTGGTGTGTTTTTTCGTTTATTTTTTATATAAATTTCTCCTATAAAATGACTTAACTACATGTTTTTCTTTAAAAAGACTGACATTTTAAATGTATCTAGTGTATTATTTGATAAGTTTTGGTCACAGATTATAAAATGATAAATTTACAGCCAATTTATTTAGTTACTCCTTTGCTCATAACATATATATATGAGTTCTTTTTTCTATATATATTTCGCTCTGACAGATCAAAGACCACTATGAACTTACTCTGTTTTGTATATTGTCTATCTTGTCCCTGTAGAATTGTTTCAAACAATACTATCTTCACCAGACAATATTTTTACAGCTATTAATCTTATTTTGTCAGCAAAGAGTGACATTTTCATTATACATTTTAGACTGATAAACTGACATATGGTTGTTAAGCTTTCTTGAAATAACTCTCTTGTAAACCAACAGAGAAATCCCTAAAGGATTTGATCGGTCACGACTGAACTTTGATTATGGAAACCATACAATTGTAGTGATACATTTTTTAAGACGAGTCAAAACAGTACTAAGATACTAAATACTAGATCACATATATCTGGATAGATCTACTTTTTCATTTTCAGCTTTAATGAAATGAAAATATGCCTAATTGGCATTGCATTTTTCCTTCATCTACATTTAAAGCCTTTTGCGGAGCGGTTGCTTTTACGGACTGAGGCATCAAAATTGCAACCACCGTTAAACTTTTCGAGGCCGTATAACCGATTTAATGGGTTCAAATTACTGGAGTCTATGCATGCTACTAGGTGATATCGTTTTGATCCTGATGTTTCTTTAAGTTTGTAAGGACCGGAAATTAGCCAAAATAATTTTGGCAGTTGGTATAAACAAACAAACAAGTAAACTGTTGGTACAAACAAACAAACATGTAAAGCATGAAAATCAATGCATTTTGCAGTTAAAAAAATCACTTAATACATTTTTCATTAAATATCTTACTTCAGAATCTGTTAAATTGATTTTCAGTAATAGTAACTGTATAGTGCCCGCCACCCCGGTCATAAAACACAAATTTGCAAACTGGCCTCGCTCTATAATGATAACAAAGGTTTATCACTTAAAAATGATACGAGTAAACATTAACTGAATGATTGACATTTAAGATGATTTTCCCCTAATTAGCGATTGAAATTGAAATTTCTGATTATCTTTTTTCTTTTTTTTTCATTTTTAATCGGACTTGCACCATACAGGCATGCTGAAAAAATGAAATGGAAATAATAAAAGAAACATGAAATAAATAAACTGTCTATGTTTCATTTTTCAAATTTTGTACGCTGTTTTTGTAATTATTCTTAAGTAAAATTTCTTACATTCTCTTAAAAAAAACCTAAGAATGGCTTTTTATGGAAGTACTTATCAAACGTAATTATCTGAAAGTGACATTTTAGAAGTAATTAGGCAATTTCGGTACATTGAACGTTGTACTTGCACAACGTCCTACTTCTAAATGGTTCTTAATTCTAGGGTACGTCTTTAAATACTACTTTTATAAAGAGAGTCCTTATCGCATCATTAGCTTTTTTCATCAACTAGAATAATTTTCATTTACTTTATATGGTATATTATCATATAATAATAGCTAAGATTTAATGCATGCTTTATTTTTTCTTACCTCGTTAACAAAAGAGTATAATTATGTTGGCAGAATAAGACACTGTCGGAATCGGCATGAGACCCCAATACTGCATATGATTATGTTTATTCCAAACGTCTTAGTACTACATTTGTCTTGCCCGTTGTGATCATTTATTAATATAAAGTGGTAAATGTTGAATATTTCTGAAGTCGGTGCTATGGATTAAAAAGTACTTTTCGTTATCTCTTTTAAAGAGACTTAATCAAAACGAAACTGTTCGTATCGTGTATTTTAGGGTCTTATTTCAATTGTGATGGAAACTGACCCCTTTTTGTCTTCCCCCCTTATGATATTAATTATACCTGTACGCAAAGCCCCCATTCAGCTTGTATGTCTTAAATTCATGACAACATATTTAAAATGTAACAAATGAATAGAGACGACGTCAACGTATTAAGATTACTGTTGTACTTATCTATTAAAATCATAATTATGTTGTTTATAAAAAAAGACTGCTTGTTTTAGCTATTTTCATTAAAAGCTATCTAATTGTATGAAATCCTCAGTATGCTATAATGCGCGTCATATTTACAAGAGTTAAAGAAAAGAAATCAAATTATGTTATTTTGAATATGAAATCAATCCAAGTTTTCAAGCTGTTATAAGCCATTTAGTTTTCTGGAATTTTAATTTCCCAAGGTGAAAGAATATTTAAATGGATAGAAATTTATAAAAATAAGAATAATAAGAAGAACAAAATAAGAAATATCCACCAGTTTAAATTATGACCACTTTTTTATAGGTTTGGCATATATAATTTTGTACCAGATCAAGATAACATTTATTTGTTTCATTTATTATATTTATATTATTAAAATACTTTATTATTTATCATATTTATCATACTTACATTTTACATTATTTATATTTAATTGGTTTAAACTTTCTTCGAGTACAAACACATCGGCCCTCATCAAAACATGTTTGTTTCTTGTAATGCAATATTTCAGTGCAATAAAAACCAATCGCCCTCGTCTAAGATATTATAACGTTTTCCTCTTGGACTGTGTAACCTTTTATAATACATTTTTTTATATTAATTATCTAGTCATTGTGCTTTGTGTAAACGTTTTAATACTGAAATAAGAAAATAAAACGAAATTTATTCAGAGATCGTGAATTATGATCAATTATGTTCAATTATGTAAACGAAATGTCATAAATCTCTAACTTGTACCAAACATTAAAGGAAAGATGAAAAGTGCATTTGCTTCAATATGCCAAAAAGGACTTTATTTGCTACTGAAGAAGATATTGTACTCAGAAAGAGCATACTTTCATATTTCTTGTAATGAACTAGTTTATATTTTCAAAACTGAGTACATTAACATTTATCATTTTCATTTTCATGACATTTTTTCTTTGTCACTAGTTACTAATATTGACTGAAACAAAACCTTCAAAACATTGCGAGCTGAAATGTATATTTTATCTTTTCTAAACGGCTTAAGAAGATTAAGTTTTGACCTAAGTTTTGACTATATTTTATGTTTCTTTAACAACTTTAGTATTGACTGAATATTTTGTTTTCTTAACAGTTTATGTGGCAAAAGATGTCATGTTATGTCAGAAAAACCAATATTTTCCATTTCCTTTCACTGGGCAATTACTTAGTTTTTTCTACTCCTTTGGAAAAAGTGTTTTATGAGAACTAAAAGCCAAAGCGTACATACTCGTACATGTACATATAAGATCATTAAAAAAGTATTTTTGCCCAAAGTATATATTGCATAATTATGAAAAAATAAGTACACATTTTATGTAACACAATTATCACTGCGGCAATGTTCTAAATGTCCGCTTTTACAGGCAAATAAGTAATATTTAAATTTTTGTTGGTAAGATATCACTTGCTTGTGCCATTGATTCCAATTTTGAAATGTTTTGATATTTATAGCATTTTTTTCAAAATCATTGCTAACTGATTTATCATTAAATTACGGATTATTCGGTATGAATGTTAATTTAAAACTTTAAGACACACGTTTTATAAATCCTTGTTCAAAACCTAGACCTTAATGATATGGTCTCAATATCCCATAAGTAACAAGACATAATGTTAACGACGGAATCGTGATCAGAAAACTAAAATTATAT